AAAACTGAAATTGGTTCTAACAATTGTTGCCTGACAGGTTAGTATTTGAACACATGAAATCCAGAATTACGATGTCTGATGCCAACAAGTTCAAGAAATATAAAAAGCCAGTCTTGAGAAAGCCTTACAGTTATTGAATACGATTAAAGTAGAGGTTGGAGGGGAAGACCTGCACAGCAGCTGGCAAGACACAAGACAAGCCCCCCCAACCTCCTGCCCTCACCCCAACACCACTGCTAGAGAGAGAGAAAAGCTGCTCTTAGCCCAGCCACAGAGACAAGGTGAATCTGTGCAGAGCTCTGCAGAGCTGTTCTGCTGGCACAAGCCTTCTAGATTTACACTGCACCCAGAAGGCTGGGCCCAAAGAGCTAAGGAAAATGTTCACCTTCTCTTTATCTATGAACTTACAGAAGCACACGACAGGTACAAGCCCTCTGGTAAAGCACAGCAAGAAAGGGCAGGCAGGGAGGACTTCACTGCCATCGGGGTGGAATCGGGGTCTCCCCCTAATCAGCCACAGAGGGAAGGATGGAAAAATTCAATTATTTCTCTGCATAACTTATCAGAGATGTTCATCTTTCAGTAATGCCCTCACTGTGGTCCCAGGAGCCAAAACGTGAAGGAGCTGCAGGGTATCAGGGCTGTATCCCACGGTCTGCCAAGGGAAAAGCATCCCATGGGGTGCTGGTTGCAACCATGTAAACAGCTAGGCTATTTATGGAGAAATAATAGCCTTCAATTGCATGAAAAGGTCTCACTATCAAGCAGAACAGGGACTTTTATAACTGATTTCTTTAAAAATTATTTTAAAGTGAACCAGATATTGAAAAGAAACAGATCAGTGAAAGACAGTACAACAAGCTGCAGATCTTTCCTACACTTCATCAGGAATAGCCACCAGTTGCCACAGAGGTGCTGGTGGCTTTTCAGGCTGCTGACCTCCTCTCTGAAGCCACCCACATCTCAGGGTGGTGAGCCAGGGGACAGAGACAAGATCCACTGATGTGTTTTCCACAACCAAGTAAACAGCATCACAGAGAAAAGCATGCCTGTGCCTTCCAGGGCTTCTAACAGACATTCAGCAACAACGCCGTTCCTTGAGGCAATGGACAAGGAAGTGTCTTGCTGCAGAAAGTTTGGGAATTACTTTTTAACAGGAACTTTAATAACAATGACTCGTAAGAATCTCAGTGTACATGCAAACGCCCCAAATGAAATCATGTGCTGTGCCCTATAAACACAGAGAGAACATTCTTGCCCCAACACGCTTACGTATGTTGAGCACTCAATAAAAAAATAAGATGCCAGTGACCCTGGTATTTCTGGAAGAGTTGCTGGCTGGCAAACAGCAATATTGTGACCTCTTAAGGAACAAGAAGGAGAAATGCAAACAACCAAGAAGAACAGAACAAAACAAAAATATTTTCTTAAGCAGAACTTTTAAAATCCTGAGATCTCTGACTCCAGAACAAACACATGAAGGTGTGTATCTGGCTCTCAGCATCTCCTAACCTTCAATTTGCTAGTCAGCAATACAACAGAAAAAGTTAATTGTCTCAAATTCTTTAGCAAAATTGTGATGGTAGATATAAGTAAACTGACATCTAGGGGTTATCTGTGGACCTCAAAAAAAATCACTTGCAACATTGCTCTCCTGTGCTCCCTTCATATCCAAGGTGATGAGGTGCTGTGAAAACAGAGGGCCTGAGCAATCTTCAAACACACAGCAGTGAGAGACAGGCAAAAAACACTGTATGGTTTCTCTGTTTCAAACACCATCTACTTAATTTCAGAAGTCAGAAACACACAAGAGAACACAGCAGGGCCCCACTTCTTGCAATAAGGAGCCAAGGAGGAAGAAAAGATACTTCCATCCTATGATTTCTGTCAACTGAACAGTTTTAGTTTTGCCTCATCAAGAACAGCACTAGGACAACTCAGGGTACAGCTACATCAGATTTCAAATGGAATGGGGGGTGTGGTTTGGAAGCACTTTTCCCAATTCACTCCTCCACGCCCTGCTTTGGTGCAGAGTGTAGAGCTGTACCTGGGTTCCTCCTGGGTGAACCGTGCCAGGAGGCTCATTTCTGGAGCATGTCTGATGTGCTCCAACCACTGGTCAAAGACCTGGTCCAGAACCAGGCTTAGGTAGAAGTCCTGGAACTTGCATAATGTGGACACCGAGTCCTCAGCATCTCCCATTTCTCTCTCTGAAGGTTACTTGATCACGTTGACTGGGCCTCAGAAAGGCAGATGTGACTGTTGCAGCAGCTCTGACAGAGATAACATACCAGCCATCCAGCATAAAAACCAGGTTATCATTAAGATACCAAAGGTTGAAAAGGAAGCTCAGGAGTGAAGTATTGGTGGGGAAACAAAGCTTATGTCTGTTATCTCCACAGCATTTTCATACTCGAAAAGAATATGACATAATTAAACAACCACAACAAACTTCCTCTTCTTTATCACTACTATCAATGAGTTCTCAGGGAAAATAGTAAAGCAAAGCTTCCTAACAGCACCTCTATTCACAAAACTGAGCAAGTGCTCAGCAAAGGACAATGAATTAAGAGGTGAAATCTCAGTTTACTCCGTTAAATTTCCGAGCTGCTCCTTAACAAAACCCTCCCCTGCTGCAGGCTCTAGACACCAGCCCCTGGCACTGCTTTTATCAGTGCCTCTTTTGTGTTTTGTTTCCCTGATGCCATTTACCTATCAGCCAAGTAATCTGACAGCAGAACAAAGGGCTGAGGAAACAGGAAAAAATGGGAAACTCGTAGCACCCACCATGTGGCCTGAAGGTCTGAACACAAGGGAAAGGGACAACATGTGCCACAGACCTGTGGATAAAGGTGGCCATGGCAGAGGTCTGCTTGGGTCAGAAGTAGACTCACCCCAATTTCTGTAACTATTTAAGATAAGAAATGGAAGCTAATTACAGTTCCACAAGAAAACACAGGAGGAAAAGGGGATAAAAACCAACCCAACCCATATTCCTCGTTAAAGTAATTCTTACCACATGCTCCAGCTGCTTTCCTAGCTAAGTTTCAGTATAAGAAGAAACCATTAAAATGTCAGATCACAAAGCATACTTCACTTTACCTAGACTGCATTTTGGTTTGTTCATCTGTAGTGTCCTAGCTAAAGCAGGACCTGTGAAAGGCATTCAAAGCTGCAAAACCCAAACTGCTGCACTGATGAGAATCAGCAGCCTAGCAAGAAATGCAATCAAGGACAGAACTCAGAAAAAGACTGTGAAAAGCCACTCCTGGCATGGGGTATAATTACTCTACACAGAGCTCTTGTGAGCTCCTAGAAAACATAAACAAATAAATAAAAATATTTAAAAGCAGTACCATCAATCTCCACATGTTCATGTGATTTTGTGATTAATAAATACAGTTACAAACTGGGCAAAAAGACTTAATTTTGTTTGTTGCTACCACACAGCCTTCACACACTGCACCTGGCTGTAGAAGAGGATGGAAGAGGGAAATACCATAGGGTTTGTGGATTTTTCTACAACCTATCCAATTTCTTTTCACCAGAGCAGCAAGATCCAGGTTACAGTAAGGGAGAGATTACATCTGATCCTTTTTTCTTGAAAGCACACTTCCACCAAAAGACATCCGTGTCAACAGTTCTCAAGGAAATGAACTGAACTGGTATTTTTAGAAGCCAAAAAGAAAAACCAAAGCCCAGGGACACACATCTGCTTTCAGTTCCATGGCTTGCAGCCACCAATGTCCCTGTCGATATTTTTCCTCCCCTAAGCCTCTCATTTCAGCCCTGCTGCCCTGTGCACGTGGACAGCCAGCTCACCAAAAATAAGTGTTTGTGTCACATCAAAATAAGCACCTGCCAGAGGCGAGTGACCTGCCCTTCCAGCTTCCACCACTGTTTTGCAATCCTCTGCCCCCAGTCCTTACTCACTGACCTTTCCCCAACCACCCTGGCTGCAACAAATGCCTCCTTCCTCCATCACAACGTCCTGTGACTCCTTCAGTGTCCTCAACTCCATGCTTATTTTATAAAAATGGGCACGTTATAAGCAGAATTAATAAACCCACAGAGCACAGAAGGGTTGGCAAGATATTCCACTCCCATTTTGGGCTCCAAGCACTGCAGACAACCACTCTACCAGCGGGAGACAAAGGCACAGCACAGGAGACACAGCTTTTACTCCAGGGACAATGAAACCCCCAGCATGTACCACCCTGCTGCACACGCTTCCGAGGGCTGCTGGAAAGCAGGCAAGGGCTTCATTTCAATACGAATACTCTGTAGAAAAAGGAAAGTCAGACCCTCAGCCAAGCCATAAGGAGGAACTCAAGGATCCCTCATTTTCTTTTCTGAATGGCAAACGTGCAGTTTCATCCCCAAACCCTTCAAGCTGCAGAAACCAGCGTCCCTGCCAGCTCACTCAACCACCTGAGTAACTTTTTCCAGCCTTTCTTCAAACTGTAACAACTCGCTGTATCAAACTGCCAAATCTTCAGGGCTCATTTCTTTCTGTGAATCCAGCTGTCATTCCTCCCAAATGCCTTCGCAGTCCCAACTCTCCCAATGCCAGGGGAAAAAACCAACCCAACACAAAACACACACAACTTTTCACAGATACACATAATTTTGCAAAACACATATGCTCTATATATGGCACATGAAGTCAATTAACAAGTTTACTTACTGAATTAAAAGGATGACACCACAGCAGTGAAACAAAACTGGCAGGCAGAAAACCCATTCACCTTCTCCTCCCTCCAATGCAACACTCACAAGGAGCACCAAAGAGCTCAGAAATCTAAGGACATTTGGAAGATCCTTCACACTTATCCCCGTGGCATTTTGTATCCTGTAATTCCCGTGACGTTTCCGATCTCTGGCACGTGGATGTTAAACGTAAAACACACACAATTTTCAAGCCAGCAAGCACAAAACATGCACTAGGGAAAATATATTCCCTCAGAAAAAAGGACTGGGCAGAGAATAAAAGAAGGTACCTCTTAACTGCTCGGCCGCGCTCTGCCCGACTCGCTCCATCACGTTCCCATCCTCCATTTCATAACGATCATCCAAGTATTTCTCAGTAGCTTCCGAAATATGGACCTTTCCAGCCACCCCAAGCTGCTCCATCAGATTGGCCAAATTGACATCATTGGACCACACATCGAACTTGAATCTCCTCGTTCCCAAAATGCCACACAGGACTGTCCCGGTGTGAACACCGACTCTCATGTTGACCATTTCGTTTTTCTCCTGGCAGAACTGCTCAATGGCTTTAATCATTCCTAAACCCATCTCGATGCAGCAGTAAGCATGATCTGCCCGGGGCTCCGGGCAACCAGCTACACAGTAGTAACAGTCTCCCAAAGTACTTATCTTCTCACATTTAGTGTCCTCACACAGACGGTCGAAACGCCCAAAGAGGTCGTTCAGGAGACCCACCAGAGCGTGGGCAGATTTGTTGGCGCTCATTTTCGTGAAGCCAACGATGTCTGCAAACAAAATGCTCACTTGCTCTATCTGCCACATCTTAAAAGGACGGAATATTATGGAGTTTTTCTGTATGGAGGGCTTCTTCTTCCTGCTTTTCGGGCTGTAGGTGGAATAGCCCTTCACGGAGTTTTCGCTTTCATCATCCCCCTGCTTCATTAAGTCATCGGCTATTATTCTTGGCATAACAGAATGAATCATCCTCTCTTTCAGAGCTTTTTCCACTTCCAAGTCTTTTCCATGCATGATGGACTGCCCCACTTTCAGGAACGTGCTTCTGGACCTGACTTCGGACAGGATCAGTAAATGGACCCCGATGGCGTGGATGCAGACGTGCAGGAGGGCTTTCATCAACACCTCCCAGTAAACTGCCCCGGCTCCAACAGGTGTAAAGCAGGTCTCATCACGGAAGTGATACCCAAAGGTCTCAAAGAGGACCGAGTAGGACAGCCCCAGAAAAAAGCTGATGTACAAGGGGATGCGCATCACGGCGTAAAGCAACAGAAGCACTTCGATACACATGGAGAAACTGCCCACTGGAGAGAGACAGATATCTGTGGGATCTGCCCGGGAAGTCTGGTTGGACGTGTCACCACTTCCTGAGAGAGGTTTCAGAGCCTGGAACTGCGAAGCCAGAGTCAGAGCAAAAACCAGGAGGGTGAAGCTCAGCGAAGTCCACACGTAATGGCGGGCGTACGCCTTGGTGAAGGTGAACACGAAAAACCCCACACACACCAGAAGGAAGCACAGGGCCGGCACCATGAAGAACATCTTCTTCTCCCTCATGTTGATGCCGAAGTAGGCGCCCCAGAGGAAACAGGCCGTGCTGATGTAGAACAGGGCGTAGCGGAACCGGCGCTGGGTCTGCGGGAAGCACCTCTCCATGCAGGCCTCCTCCAGGTTGGTGGAGTCGAACTTGGGGTTCCACCACTTGGAAGAGGCCCTCTCGAAGAGCTGAGGCAGCTTCTTCTGGCGGCGGAGGACGGAGCGGGTGCTGCCCCTGCCTCCGGCCCGGCGGGTCCCCCCCCATTCGGCCGAGCTGCAGCTGGAGGAGATGCTGTACTTGCAATCCTTGGGCAAGGAGCAGCCCTGCTGAGGCCTGGGGTTGATTCTCACCGCCACGCTGTTGCTGTCCCCGCTGGAGTCGCAGCTCACCTCGGTGCTGTGGTGATGCAGCAGCTGCCGGTGCGGTGGGGAAGCCATGTTGTCACATCCCTCCCCAACAGCCCCGCTCAGGTAGTTGGG